ATGACGTTTGTAACAAATCACATGGGTTGTGGAATCTGAGTGGGGAGTCAACATCATCCTAGAGGGAGTAATTGAAAATTTCGTCATGCAAGCTTCAACTATTCTTAAGAATGGTCACCATAATAAAATATTCAAATTCCTTAGCTCTTATTTTATAGAATAATTGTAGATAATAGCTTTTATTTTATAGAATAATTGCAGATAATCCCCCCTCGCATAGACCTTTCATAACAATTGCATAACATAATTGAAATGGATTCAGGACCTATATTATTAAAATATATAGAAGGTTGAAGAACCTATTAAGTATCGAAAGTAGATGATACTATACTTCATTGTGAAGCTCCAGAAAAAAGCAAACGTAAGATTGTTTCATCCTGTTGTATGTTCTCTCCTGTAATTTTCCAATGGATAGTTTTCAATCACAGTAGCATAAATGCAGTAATATACCCTTTGCTTTGAAGCGAATTAATAGCAAAGTTAAAACAAACAGGAACCGAAAAAAGATGGCAAGGGAATTGTGATACCACAGATTAAGAATGCCTACAGGAAGGCAGCATGTAAGTAGATACATAGTATTACAAAAATGTGAATGGTGATAATCAGTTTCAAATATGGGTGTAGTTATGATATACTCAAGGCACATGAAACTAGCATATACATGTTTTTACCCGCCAACGGTTCAATAATTTCCGCAACGGTGCTTTAACTACATGTATCGATAGGAAGAATCTTGAAGGTCTTCTACAATTTATACGTGCGCCCACTTAGTCTTATAAAAATAACCAAGAATTTCCACAAGCGCATACTAGTTTCATTCCACAATTGTGCCCGATCATTATAATATCCACAGGTCAAGTAATAGAAGGGATCAGAAGGAATAAAGTGTGGGAAGAGGAAGATAGCCTTCAGTCATGGCGACCTTAGCTTCATAGTAATGCCTGGATGTCAATCTCAACGAAAGTGCAAGGGTCATTTATGCCAAAATTCTTCAAGACCTGAAAAAAGAGGAAGCAACTTTCATCGAACTAAATATAACGCAAGTACAATTGTCCTTAAAAAAAAGTGAACGAGAAGAGAGGAAACAAGATCTCATTTTCATATGGCATTCAAGTGCAGCGATTTTATTTACGTGATACCCCATTATGAGGAAATAAGCTCGTAACAGGCCTGGAGTTTCTAGGTACAGTTATTTAAGCAATCAGGAAAGTCACCTGCAGACTGATACCTTATTCAGGATAAACTGGAACAGACTGATTATAAATAAAATTAAATATTAAATTCACCTTAAGCAAATAGTTATCTTAGAGAGACCACCAAATCAAACAAATTAGAAGGCTAAATCAACACAAATGTATTCCACTTATGTTAGTGTTTGACTTACAGAGATCCCTCCATGAGGAGAGATACTCTCGTTTAGTTTGATTAGAGGTATTTGTCGACCATAAGGAAAAAGAAAAGCAAATAGAATAACCAGCATAGGTGATGATCCTGGATTGCACAACCATTATTACATCACAGATTAATATAATTAGTTGAATTCACTCATCTTGTTCAAAATGCAAGAAACCATAAAGTTGAAGATCATTAAGTTAAAGAGCAGTATTAAAGAAACAATATCTTTAAAATTCAGAGTAATGCTGTGACGATAAAAATACCTCTGGATGAACAATGCCAAAGGAGCCAATTTTTTTCTCTTCAAGGAAGATGTTGCATTGTCTTTTTGGAAGATATTGTGGTTCCTTCAGCCAACAACAAAATGAAGTATCAGCATGCTGCTTGTTACATCATAGTAAACGAGATAGGAAATATGTAAAATAGAAAAAACACCAGCACATTCTTACATCTGAAGGCCTCTTATAATCATCAATTTTGACCTTAGGAGCAACCTTCATGATTCTATCCACTAAGCCAAGAATTACCTGCAAAGCATTGCATATTAAGTACAATTCTATATTCAAAACCCACCAAAACATTGCATATTAAGTACAAAACTGCATCCACCAAGCCAAGAATTACCTCAGCACAATGTGGGTAATTCTTGGCTTTGGTGGAAAGGACTTTAATGTGAGGCTGTGTTTGGCAGTTGCAAAATAAGATTGGGTGAGACTAATTTTTGCTTATCTAGCTTAGAGTATGTCCATGTAGGGGTTGGTAAAAAAGAAAGCTATAGAATTTGAACTAGAAAAAACTAGTTCAAACCTTGCCCAAGTTTTGCCAACCTAACAACTAGTTTTTGAACCATACTTGTATCCACTAAAACTAGTTCTTTGGAGTTGTCAAACAGACCCTCAAGAGTCTGAGCAACCCACATTTAAGTCCCACCTGTGCATATTCGAAGGAGATTTAGGCAAAAACAAGATACTTTTGCGTGAGTCCAGGGTTCGCCCCCAGAAAAGGATGCTCAACTCAACTGCTAGTACTTCTTTTTCCCCTTTTTTCTTTTTTTGGGGGAGGGTTGGGGGGGGGGGGGGGGTTGAGTCCAGGGTTCGCCTCCTAAAACATTGCTCAATGGCGTGTTTTTTTTTTTTTTTTTTTTTTTTTTATTGGGGGTGGGTTTAAGATTTTTAATATGTTTCAATCTCAAACTCTATTACAACTTTTTGAACTTTTGGTATAATGAAAGGGACTTTAATAAAGTCAGCTCCAGGTTCTCTCTTTGACATAATTTGTGAAGGGTAAAAGGTTGCACTTTACACATCTGTTCATTTAAGGGAGTGTTTTGCAGTGTATTAAATATCGACAGATATATCGGTTTTGATGTCCTAGCCAATCTCATATTTCTCCTCCCTCTTTATTCAGCACTACAGCTCAAAACGCTAGGTGATCTCATATACGAATCTCTCCCCTCTCTCTCCACTCTCTTCTCCAATTCTCCTCTCTCATCTCTCAGCTCCTCCTCAGACCCCTCTTTCTCTCTTCCTCTCTCCTATCTCTCAAATTCTCTCTCCCTTCTCTCTGTCTTCCTCTCTTCATGCCCTAGCCAATCTCATATTTCTCCTCCCTCTTCATTCAGCACTATAGCTCAAAACGCTAAACAATCTCATATATGAATCTCTCCCCTCTCTCTCTCCACTCTCTCTCTTCTCTAATTCTCCTCTCTCCACTCTCTCTCTTCTCCAATTCTCCTCTCTCGTCTCTCTCAACTTCTCTCTCCCTTCTCTCTCAACTTCTCTCTCCCTTCTCTCTGTCTTCCTCTCTTCATGTCCTCCCCCCTCCCCTCTCAGACCTCTACCTACATCTAATGCTTCTAAATATTGTATATCATTATTCATAATGCAATTTCTTATGCTTAGAATACATTAAACATGTTTTGATTACATATTATAATATTATGTTACATACGAACATCATCCAATATGACACCTGATATTTTTTATATATCCCTGATCTCCACAATCTGATATGGATTTTGGTCATCCGATATTTTCGATATTTAATACATTGGTGTTGGATACGCTACAATTGTAATTGGGGGAAATGTTGTATGCGGCATTTATTACAAGAAATTAACCACATATCCTTTGTTTGGATGTTTGCACTTTTATCATGGTAAATGTAAATGTATTTTCAAATACAAATCCCATGTTTGGTTAATCACTAAACCTATTGGACTAGCATGTTTTGTTGTAGGAAATACATTTCCATTGCAAATCACATGTTTGTTTCTCTTCAAATGTAAAAAGAAAATATCTACATTATTTTAGTTAAAATCAAGTAATTTGATGATGTATCATTGGTTTTTAGTTTTTTTAGTTAATGCATGACTTGCAACATTTGTTGCGGCCAATTTGACCGCAATAAATGTTGCAAGTTTTTTCTACAAAATGTAAATCCAAATCCAATTACCACCGACAACAACCTTATTGCAAACCAAACACTGGAAATAGAAATTTGATTGCAACACCTGCAGATGTAAATACATTTCTTGTCAACCAAACAGCCCTAAGGTATAGCCTCATAACTACAGCTAGTTGTTTCTTAGGTTAGAGATTGGAGTCTACTCTGATATACTGGTCTTTGGAACAAAAGGCTTTGGTGTTGGGTGTATGGGTGATAATACTATACTCTTAAGAGGAAGATCTTCAACTCCCATATTTCTGGCCATCAGATCAGATGAACATGATACGCATAAGGAACGTGAAACTGAAGTCCGTCACATATCAAGGATCCATGAAAAATTTCATAACATAACAATGTAGTAAAACATTGCCGAAATATTTTTATACATCCCATGTGAAGCAAACTAACAGTTGAAATATAAAGAACAATTATCAAATCCAAAGAGAACAATCAATATTCATACAATTAGGGGTAAGATTGTAAAACAGATAGCATGCTTTCTAGAGAAGTCTTGGATGCTTTAAAAGGAAAATTCCAACATTCTGGGTCTTAACAAATTTCGAAATTATAAAAATATTAAAGAATCTTACTGTAAATTTAATTGTCTGGCTTGAAAAACTATGGAACCAATGTATGAAACACAATTCTGTGCGCAGAAGAGAATAAGGAAATTGGAATCTCTATTTATAATAGAAATTTTCAATGTCATGATTTTAGCAAATTTTGAAATTCTCTTATCTATCCAAGCGATCATCTGAAAGATATCATGAATGATTGTTAGAAGATACCAAAAATCATATAATTATTGTGACTTTAATTGCATCAAAACCCATGCTTTGTCTTCTAAAAGAACTCGAACTGTGTGATATTTCTTTCAGTTCATGACATGTTAAGAGGAGTTTATTACTCTCCCAGAGAGTTAAATATTCACAGGAAAATATATATTCACTTGAAAGAATATCAATGGAAAACCAATGCCAATGATTTTACTGGGTGCTAGCATGAAAAGAAAAACAAAATCTACTAATTAAGGTACTGCCTACTTGAATTAGGTTAGACCCTATGAATATATACCTCGAATCCTGATGTAACGTTACAGTACAGTGCTGCAAGGCAGCGATTATTTGATGCACCGACGTCATTTGACTTATCCACCATCACGACATCACCAACTTCAAATATCTAAACCAATAACTTTCATGAGTCCCAAAGATGACTGTCATTCTATAATGCAAATACCAATGACAAATAATCATTTTGCAAAACATTATAAAAGCATACCAATAATACAGTATACAGATATACATAGAATAGAATTCGGTTTTGACAAATGATACCAGTAGCCCATGTAGTAAAAGATATCACCACCAGCAGTAAGCAAAGTTATCAACTTAAGTGTGATAAATAGCATTAGTGGGCATAAGCGTAGGGATGCAAAAAGATCACATACGGCTCAGATATGATGTTTACCATATCCATATCTGTTTACCAATCATGGATATATATACGGATATGTCTAGGTAAGGAAAGCTCATATCCACGTATGCTAAAATCAGATACAACTGTACATGCAAATATATATGCAGATATACATGCAGATACAAAATGGATATGACAAAGCTGAATAAGATCGAAAAAATATATATACAATTCATATGATACAAGTGAGTTCATTAGTATCTTTGTTATATGTGAAAAGTTAAGATTAGATCTCTTGATTATCAAAATTAACCTCAAATCCATCAATCTAAGGATTAAAACAATTGCAACTGTATGATCAATGTGTATTTGTATATTTCAGATACAGATCCAGATATTTCACTACATATCCATATCCATAATCATATCCTATCAGATATAGATATTTAGTAACCATATATTTGTATCCTAACAGATATTGATATATCTGCAAATATGGACATTCTTTTGCACCTCTACACAAGAGGCATTGGAATCATCTAAAAGTGTGATACAGTATGATCAGACCTGACAAGGGCAACACATGTGCGAACCATACAGGTAACAAAGTCCAGAAGAGAGCACAAAGTTAACAAATGTCAAGCACAAGCCTAAATAATAGACTGTGTTATGAATATTTGACAAGCACCGCTGAAAAATAAGGGGAAGGTGACTAGGGATGTTGTTCACAGTATATGTCAATGAAACTCACCCATCATAATTTGTGAGATAAAACATGCAAAATGCCTATGATTGGAGCTTGAAGTGCAATAGCAACAATTGACGGTGCCATGAAAAAACAAAGTTAAAAGACAGACGTATGTGGAAGGGCATCATCCTTATTCAATTAAATGGAACGATCTTCAGAATATGTTTGACTTCTATATACAACAGTTAAGAAGAGTAACATCTTTGGAGTTCAATAAATTGCATCCTTATGAATGATGATATTTTGCCTAATGAAATCAGTTTGCCAAGAGAAAATAATTTCTAAATTTTTGAATCTCAAATGTACAGAGGCCAACACAATAAATTCAATTGTCGAAATCAATTTAGACAGATTTACAAGAAGAAAAAGTCAGTTTAGCTGGTATCTGTTATAAATAATATTTACGTGGTAACCATAATAATGATCCTATGATGAGTTAGGCAAATATTTTATGGCAAATATCGAAGCAAGCTAATACCTTTATGGGTCTTGGATGGTCTATATTGCTCTTTAGAGATTTCAATAGGCCTGTCATTAGACTTGTCCGTGTAACCTGACAAAAAAATTCCAAAATCCTGGTAAAGGTACCCCAAGCAAAGATTTAAATGAAAATACAAAGATAACAATAAAAAATTAGAACTAAAAACAAGTAAATTATTCAGTATCTGCTGGCATAAAGAGGCAAAGTAGAAAACTATCACAGTTCATCAAGAAAGAACCAAGAATTGAAACTAAAGGACATGAAAGTTTTCTGAGGAAGCCGTAAACACTAGTCACGACAGTACAATAGAAGAACTTACATGCAGAGACACAGATCCCATCCTCTCCATCCACTTATTCGAAGTGGGCCTTAAATCAAATAACTTTTTTGCTACTTATAATTAGGATCACAGTTGCAAACTACTTTTTCTTTACTAACAGCAACAAGCCTTACCTGAGTTATTATCTTACAGTATAAGCAATTAATTAGTTATGTTCTGCTTTTGAGCATATAGATCTTATATTTTCAGAAATGTTCACACTTATCTTTATACAAATTCCTTTATATCACCATCCGTATCCAGTTGAATCTGCAGAAAATTACATTAAGGAATTGCCAATAAGGCAGTAACTGATGATATTAAATGACTTTCGTATGATCAGTTACCTATAATACTGACAAGCCAAGGGAGCAAAGAAAAAGAAATGGTAAAAGCACATAAACTACCATGCCCGCACTTTTCACTTTTCTTACATTATATGTCGATTTTTATCATCAAAAACCTAAACCAAGAACCACAAACCCAATATCCCCAATTTCCATCTTTTATGGCATGAAAAACCCAAGCAAAACCCTGAAATTAACATGACCACTAATCCCTCGTCTCTTGTAAACCCAAATTTACCGTAATAATACCGATACAATCCCATCATCTCCTCCATTTTGTGGCACAAATTCCACACTTACTCATATTCCATCACATGTTTCACCAGATACATTTCTTCCATGATCCATCTTTCTTATAAGGCAATCTGCATTTAGTGAGTACGATCAGAAATGGAAAGGAAGGGAAGCACTATAATATTGTTTGAAGAAATTTTGGGTTCATTTTGAACGTCAATAGTTTCCAATGTCAACAAATCAGAAACAAGTTGGACACTAGTCAATGACCTACTAACAGGAGATGTTAGATATGTATGAAAATACCGATAAAATGAGGAAAATATGTAATATTGCAAACACACAGGTAGTTGTATGCTAAATCTCATTAGGTTATGCAAAGTCATTGTCTGACCAGAGAGAGGACTGCCAACTATCCATCAGTTTCATATCTGACCGGTTGTTCAACTTTATTAAAAGCAAACTAAAAGATGCCAGGAATGAACAAATTAACAGGGAAGCTCAGTGCACGAACCTCTTGCGATGTGCGGGGTACAGGAAGGGGTCAGAGCACTTTGGGTCTATTGTACACAGTGTTACCTTGCATTTAAAAAAAAAAACGTTGTGTCCAGTGTCCACGACTCAGATTCATGACCTCCAGGTCACACGGCGACAACTCTTACGGTTGTGCCAAGGTTCCCCTTCAAGGAATGAACAGATTGTTTACTACAAAACAATTATGATGTAAACATCCTCTTTGAGAAATAAATAGGAGTGGGGACATGAAAAGAAGTTTTATCAGGGATATACACAGAGATTGAGAGATTGGAGAAATCTGAATGGAAAATAAAATAAACAAGAAATTAATTGATATTATATAGGTAACAGGAGAAAATGAAATTTCAATCTTTTCTAAATCACTCTGCACTTCACAGTCCTACATATAGTAAATGAAAAACGCAACATTGTATTTTCCACATTATAGTTAAAAACTATGAAATGTTTAAAAGACAATCTTTGCCATTTTACCATTTGTGAAGCTACCATGACTAGCTTATGGGATCAGGGGATCAAATTAAAATTTTATTAGTCATGAATTGCTCCTCAAATTTAGGCATGAGTATGTGATCCGCTCACTAACTTTCTCCACGCCCTCCTTTACATATGAGTTTTTGCCATTCGCTCTACTGACATTCAATCTAATGATGTAAACAAGGGAGAAAGACCCACCTAAGGCAACCAAGCAAGCTCGCTTCTAGCAACGGTCTCCATATTGGGCTACAAATTGTATAAGTGGAGGCTATACGGGGGAATAGAGTGAATGGGGAAAGGGGGCTTTTGAGCTAACACCCACTGTAGCCTAGCTCAGGAAGTATGTTGGTCCTTAATCTGAGATTTATTTTGGATTCAAGTGAATGAATGCTGATATTGGGTGAAATATGTCCCTGTCCGTAGTTTCCAATAGGCACATCCACTCCTCATCAGAAGTAAAATCAGAAACAAAACACCACCAAAATGCAACTTTTATACAAGCAGGCCTTGGACATGATCATCATACTGTTGGTTTCTTCCAATATATCACTGGTTCAACATTCACCAGTTTAACCAAATTGCACAGGACCTAATCTTTCAAGCTCCGGCAGTAAGTAGATAATCAACAGATAGCAGTAATCCAGGTCTATAGATCACAATAAGATCCTTAATTATAAGAAATGTAGCTGCCGGATAAATATCTGTGGTTCTGTACTTTATATGTACGCATTTCTTTTCTGAATTTCCTAACAGTAAGCTACTACAATGCCTAAGAATATACCTTTGGCTGGACACAGAGAGTTGGTTCTACGAGATTTTTTTATTAACCAAGTCACAAAAATAAATAACAGGTTTGAGCTAGAGGACGAAAACCTACATCCTTCAGTCAAAAATGCACGTACACAATGGACTCACCCCAAAATCAGCCGAACGAGGATTTTCAATGATGACTGCATTTTTTGAGTCATTCTCCCGCCTCAACATTGCAAAGTTCTCTTCATGTGAGCCTAAAATCCACGTTACCACCTCCATGTACCCTGCTTTACATACCTGCAAGTGGGGAAATAATTAATATTATCACTACAAGATTAAATAAGTACAATTAATAAAGTACCAAAAGTGAAAAGAATGAAAGATAACTATACATTCAAGAATAGCTTGCCCCCAGAAAGTTGTTCATCTCAAACATTAATAGCTAATAAAATCGAGGGCAATACAAAAAAAATAAGGCAAAAACAAAAGCAAAAAAAAAGAAAAAGAAAAAAAAAGAGTTCTGGAACAATATATGTAGTTAATATAAACCCACAGCAGTTACTTTTTAGTCCGTATGCATCTGCAGCATTATAATGAGATCAAGAAAATTTATTCTGAAGTCACGGACAATGATTAGCTCTTCCTGAATAGTCATTCACTTTGATTCTCATATACTGTCAAAAGTGTTGACCTCTACATTTTTTATATCACATGTGAGGTGTATGACCAACAATATGACCAAACAGCAGCCAACAATGCAAATAAAATGTAACACATATACATTCAGCCTGCACCCGAGTTTCATGACATGCATTTTCATGTCCTTGCCCTGTTATGGTAGAACTGAAAGGGGGAAGTTTTGACCCAGTACTGAATACCATAAGAACATTCTACAAATAGTGAAGCACAATAGCCAATGAAACCAATGTACAATAGAGATAATACCAAAATGGAAAAATCAAGTACTACAGTGGGGTATACAAAAAATATTAGTAATATTTATGTTACCCAAGTTCTTGGAACATAAATATGTGCAACCGTGACATGAATATGTGCAATCTTCTCCAAAAATCGCTGAGCACGTTGTCTCTCACTCCCTTCCTTACCGTCAGCCACGAGATCAAACGGACTCGGTGGTAAAAACCCATAACAAGTCTCAAACGGTGACTTTCCCGAAGATCCATGAATAACCCGATTAAATGCAAAACTGAAGATATGGTAAGCTCTCATCCCAAGTCTTGGGATGCTTGGAATTGTATCCTCTCAACATATGTACCATAGTCCGATTAACTACCTCTGTTTGTTCGTCGGTTTGTGGATGGAAGGTTGTGCTTTTCTTCAACCTAGTGTCCATCAAGCTCCACAAAGAATCCCAAAAATATCCGAGAAACCGGCTATCTCGATCTGAAATAATCGAATTCGGCAACCCAAAGTGCTTCCACACATGCTCAAAAAACAATTACGCCGCACCTGCTCCCGTCAAGATCTTCTTACAAGGAATCAAGATGACCATCTTGAACCGGTCCACCACAACAAACAAATAATCATTCCCGCGCTTAGTCGTCGGCAATCTTCTAATAAATCCATAGAAATACTCTCTCACGGTCTCGACGGTACCGACAAAGGTAGATACAATCCCATTTTCCTATTAGAAAGCTTTGATATGCAACATAGCTTACACCCTCCAACATACTTAGTGACATTCTCTAACATCTTCGACCAAAAGACATGACGTCGTAGATTGAGAAGCGTCTTCTAAATCCCAAAATAACCTTGCACACGTGATGTATGGGCTTCTCGAATCCACTGCAATCGGTCGTCATCCTCCGGAATGCATAGTGACGTCCCTCAATACAACAAACCATCTGCACCAATCTCATACTCCCCCTTTTGACCAGCCTTCGCCTGCTCGAACACACTGCTGAAATCTCGGCTGGATGTGTACGTCTGTACATACTCCAAAGGAACCAAGGGCTGAATGCGCGTCACCACCAAGAGAGCTCTCACGGGTGGGCGAGATAACATATCGGCTAACTTGTTCATCGTCCCCTTCTTGTACCTAATGATGATATTGAATGCTATTAAATAGAACATCCACTTCATGTGTCGTGTCTGCTGTAGCTTCATCTGAACATGTAAAAATTCCAATAGCTTGTGATCTGAGTGCACAACAACCTCCTTTCCTAACAAATACACTCGTCAATGCCTAATTGCTTGATAAAGTGCATAAAACTCCTTGTCGTAGGTGGGGTAGTTCTGAATAGCACCCGTAAACATTTCTGAATGATACTCCACTGGCTTCCCATCCTGAATCAACACAACGCCCATATCATAACTAGAAGCGTCGGTCTCTACCTCGAAGGTCCTCTGTAAATTCGACAATGCCAATACCGGTGCCTCCAATATCTTCCTCTTTAATAACTGAAAAGCTTCCTCATGCGTCCTCCCCCACTCAAACTGAACATTCTCCTTCGTAAGGCTATGCAAAGGTGCCGCATAAGTCGAGAAATATCAAATAAACTTGCGCAAATACTGACAAACCCCCATGAAGCTTCTCACCTCCGTCACTGTCCTAGGTGTCGGCCACTTCGTGATCACTGTCACCTTGCTTGGATCTATCCTCCGCTGGCCTTTCCCCACGATGAACCCGAGATACACCAACTCGTCCTTCCCGAATTCGCACTTCTTCCCGTTAAGCTTTAGTTGTCTGTTCTGCAACACTTTAAACACCTTCTCGATATGAACAAGATGCTCCTCTCAGGTTTTGCTGTACACCAAGATATCATCGAGGTAAACTATCACAAAATCCTCTATAAAGGGTCGTAACAAATCGTTCATAAGTCTCATAAAGATAGCCGGAGCGTTGCACAATCCAAACGGCATCACCAACCACTCGAACAGGCCCTGCTTGGTCTTGAACGCAGTCTTCCAAGTGTTATCCTTCCGAATCCTCACCTAATGGTAACCAAACTTCAAATCCAGCTTCGTGAAAAACCTCGCTCCTTCCAACTGGTCCATAAGATCATCAATCCGAGATAATGGGTATCGATTCTTGATGGTTATCTTGTTGAGCGCCCGATAATCCACGCACATACGCCAACCTCCATCCTTTTTGGGCACCAACAACACTGGTGACCCGCAAGGGGAATAACTCGGCACAATCATTCATGTCTCCAAAAGCCCCTAAACCTGCCTCTTGATCTCCTCAAACTCCTCTACAGATGTGCGGTATAGACCTATATCCGGCAAAAAACCCTCGCCGATCAACATAATCTCATGCTCCACACCCCTTCGTGGTAGTAGTCCCGTGATCTCCGAAAACAAGTCCACGTACTTGGCCTTCAACCTGTCAAGATCTCCCTCCTGAAACTTGCTCAAGGTAGTCAAACACATCCTACTCAGCTGCTCCTCATAAGGCCTAATAACTAACAATACAAACCTCTTGCTCGCATTCACTAGCCTCTTCGCCTGAAACTCGTCTCCTGTGAAAGAGATGCCGAACGAAAGATAAATTGCTCACCATATTTGGTAAACATATATTTCTAGGCTCGCCTATCGTAGACCGTAAACCTATCTCATAAATAAGGATTGCCTAGTATTACTTGGCAAACATCCAACGGAACGACGTCGCATGTGACCTCGTCAATATACGACTCGTGGAGTGCAAATCTGAAAGTGCATTGGTTGATCACACTTAATCCCGCCTCCTTCTGAATCCACCCTAAAGGATAGGATTTCGGATGTTTAACCGTCTTCAATCCTAACTTCTGAACCAATACCTCAGATATTAAATTCTGGCTCCCTGGATCCACTATAGCATCAACCAAGCTGGTCTTGACCTGCAATTTCAAAACAAAGAGCTGCTCCCTCGGGTCTTCGTCCTCAGTCGTGGTCTGCTTTCCAACCATAAGGTTGAAACTGCTATTAGGTTCTGTCATCCCGGAAACTTCCTTCAGACCCTGAGCTACTACATATGCCTTATTCTCCTTCTTTTTCTTCAATCCTTTTGGCTTCAGATGAGGATACTTCTCCCAGCAACGATCAGCTACGTGTCATGTCTGTTTACAGTGATTACATGTCATTCCTGCCTTCCTCGAATCACCCTTCTTCTTCTTCTCTTCCTTAGGCTAAGAGCCACTAGACTTACCTCCCGTCTGTTTGGAGTCTTCCTTCGTTTCGTTGCCCTTCTTTTGCCTGCCCTTAATGGCAATGGCCTTCACACTCGCTTCTGCCATGGACTCGACTGTGAACAACTTCATCTCCTTTCGGATATATTCATTCAGACACGTCATATACTTCATAAAGATAGAATATTCCTCCGTCGCGATGTTGAGAACCATCGCCTACTGCTGGAACTCCGTTGTATATTCTTGAACGGTTTGGTTGAACCTTTGGCGCAATCTGTACCACTTATACCAACGCTCTTCAAGGAACCCTACTGGATAGAACTGCTTTCTTAGTAGCTCCTTGAATTTGTTTCACGACATCGCCTTCCATTCCTACTTACAATAAGATTTTCACCATGTCAATGCATGCCCCGAAAGCTTCAAAGTCGCGAACACAAGCCTCTCCTTGGATGAATATCTGTATAGGGTAAAATATGTCTCCATCTGCTCGATCTAATCATCAAGCCTCTCGACGTTAACACTCCCATCATAAACAGGAATCTCTAGCTTTAAGTCTATCTTCAAATTCTGGTAAGAACCCTTACCCCCTTGATGCGGAACAGTTTTAACAATCTCCACCTCCCTATCAGAATCAGATTCCTTGCCTTCTCCATCGGACTCCTTAAGTTTCTTCTTACCTTTCGAAGAAGATTCCTCCTTTTTATCCTTTTCTTAGAATATATTAACGAGTTGTGTGAGTGTCAACTCATTGTCTCCATCTGTTTCTTCAATGCATCTAGCCTCGCTGAACTATCTCCTTCAGTCATCTTCTTCTTTCTTAATTTATGGACTCCTTCCAATGAAATAAGGATCTCGCCTAGCTTCTTGTATTGCGATCGAGTCAGGACCATACACAGGATGTCCCCTTCACAGTATCTGATCGTTCTGATATCAACTTGATACGAGTCGTCATGCGAGCACCTTTGATCGCGGAATTATCAAAGGTGGGTTAAGAAGAAAATAACAAGAACACAAGAACAATTCAGTGGAAACGAAGGAAAATACATTCTCTAGATTATGAGAATAAAATAGTTTACAATCTCTCACAATCTCACTAGAATAATAAAATAGTTTACAATCTCTCACAATCTCACTAGAATTGAAGAATAATCTCTCTCAATTCTCAAATACAATCTAATCTCTCTGAATTGAAGAATAATCTCTCTCAATTCTCAAATACAATCTAATCTCTCTTGATTGCTTTCTCCTTTTTTTAAAACCCTAAAACAATCTCTTATATAGGTGTAACAACGTGAATGGCAAAGTGGTAAATAACCAAGCCCAAACCCCCCAGGAATTCGTGCAAACAGAAACCCAAACGAACCAGGAAATCGTCAATGAGTCGACTCATAAACATGCATGAGTTGACTCATGCCAAGTGAGTCGACTCATGATGAGGTGAGTCGATTCGTCAGAAACTTTTGACAAAACGGATGGGTTTCGTGAGTCGACTCATGACAGGCATGAGTCGACTCAACCTGATGAGTTGACTCATGTACATGTATGAGTCGACTCACGGGCTGAAAACTGGATACTTCGATTCTTCGATTCGCCGTCTCGTTCAACGCTTCAACTTGCGTTCCACTGTGTTATTTTACCCCTCTATTCTCAAGTTACCATGAGAATCATCCATCCTCAAGCTCCCATGAGGATTGCTAAGTTCCGAAGAGAAGATACACCCGTATGAGTCAAATAAAGGAAGAAGGGGAGGGCAAAAGGGTAAAAGCAAAAAGTTTTTGTTCAATACCTCTAGTCTGATCTTATCAGTAAACACGCTCAACGGCTGACGTCCTCCTATCGTCATAGCATCCGGCTTTGATTTTGGAACATTGTTATATCCAAAAGCAATGGCAACATCCTAAAAAGAAAAAATAATGACAAAAAAATCCAATTCGTTAGAGACGAGAGCATATGCAACAACTTAATTGTGCTCATAAAACCATTCCCAACCAAACTCAATATTTCAAAGGAGGTACCTCTGCCAAGTCACAAGTATGAAGGATGTCACTTCTAGTAGGAGGCACAAGCACAGTTAGAAAATTTTCACCAGAAGTGGACTGTTCAGTTTGCAGTTGCATCTTGTTCAACAATGGAACAACCTGCCAACATACAAAGAAATTACCTGCCATGAGACCAAAGAAACAGTAGCAGTTGAATTTGAAATAAAATTAATAGCATCATCAAATCTAGAACAAGAAAAGTTGTCATTCGGCATAATAAAGCATGATCTACTTGTAGCGGAATATAACAAACAGCCAACTTCAAGACTTACTCAAATAATTCATGAATATGCAATGTGTCAAGCAGAAATGAGTGGCAACCACACCAAAACACAACTCCACCTAATCCAAATCAAGAAGAAAAAAGAAAAGGAACAATGACCAGTAAAGGGAGAAAAAACAACATCTATATAGTAAGCATGATAAGAATTCTGCCAGGAGTGATGAGACACTCACCTAAAATAAGCAAAATAACGATATAAATAGCTGAAGAAATAGTAAGCTAAACCAAGAGCTTGTGCGTTGTGGCTTCATAATAGTATCTAAGGATCTGATGCAGAAGATATACTAAAATGGAAGAGATATTTTTGGAAAAGATATTTTTGGAAAAGATATACAAAAAAGAAAAGAAAAATCAAAATAAATTTTGAACTCTTCAATAGGTTTTAAGTTAAACGGTTCAAAGCTAGGGCAACTGAAATAGCAATAAAAAATGAATCCTCAAAAAAAATAAAAGAAAAAGACCGAAAATTTTGTCAGAAGCCAGAAGAGATGTCTCAACTGTTTATCAAGACAAAACAAAACAGCATGTTTACAAGCAATCCCAATGAAGGCACCATATGAACACTAGCAAGTAGCAAGTTAATACTTGTGGATGACTTTAAGAAGCTATATAGCTCGAAATAAAATTAGAAGCAGCAAAAGGGTCCGACGTTAAATCACAACGTTAGAGAAACAAACACAACTTTGAATCACCAATTAACTGCAGAGCATCAAAAAAGTATACTGTATAACTCAGAGCTAGAAGTAGTCCGTCCAAGTAGAAGGATCTATGAAGACGGAATGAACTTAACCTTTCAAATTTTAGCAGACTTCACAGGGAAATTGCTCCGCAAGGTACGGAACATCAGATAAAAATTTACGTAAAACAAGAAATTCCAGTAAATAACTCTAGATTTCATTCAGTGTGCAGTCTCCAGTATAAAAAATCAAATTAAGTGCAAAAAAGAAAAGGATGATTCCTATATATCTGGGGAAAAGATTATCAGATCTACAGAACAGGAATTGCAAGCTGGACAACAAAATATTCGCTAACTCAAACAAAGACAGGAAAATGAAAATTTCAGGATAGTTGATACCTCCGTTGCAGTAAGTAATTTCTGAAACAGGAGCCTTAAAACTGGTAACTGAAAGGTCAGGATAAATGTCTCTCCGTGAGTGTACATCTACAGATGATTTGATTTCAGATGTCCTTTTGTCTGGGTATACCACATGGACTGGCTCAACCTCATATTTCCTTTCACAATACTCTGAAAACATTGTTACCTAATGAATTGACAATAGTTATGATCAAATATTGTAGACTAGGAGGTGAAACCAAACATAGAAAATAACAAGAAAGTAGCACATCTCTACACCTACCATTGTATTTAATACAATTTTTGCCTTTGTCAAGTCAGTGGCTGTGCATTCAATGAAAACATTTTTTGTCTTCAGATTGATTGCAGAATGTGCACCATTAATTATTGGAGGCAATGATAGAACGGTTCTACACTCAAAAGAACCAACGGTAAATAAAGACAAATAAGGATACAAAAGAAAGAGAACGCTCAAAAATTATATCTTTAACAATAGAACAGTTTTGCATAAAAACAAAGCCATACAACCAAAAATGAAATTCATGTAGTTCAAGAATCTGACTGACTAGTTAAAGATAGTAGTAGCAAAATACATTATCTCCTTTACAGACCTTGCAAAAAATTTTGCACAAACAAGATTTACTGAGAATACGATAAAATGTAACAATAGAAAAGTTTTGCATAAAAACAAATTCGTCCAAAGAAAAATGAACCTCATGTAGTGCAAGAACATGACAGACTAATTAAAGATAATAGCAGCAAAATACATTATCTCCTTCACAGACATTGCAAAAAAGTTTGCGCATGCAAGATTTACTGAACATACAAATAAAACGTAAGAGCATCAATTAAGTAAACTTCCAAGAAGTAAAAGAAATACACCAGTAAAAAGAAATTATTTTAAAAAGAAAAACGAAAAGCAAACCAAAAGATCACCTAGAAAAATATTTTAGAAAAAATAAAAAGGATACCAAAATATCACCTTTTGAACAAATAGCCAAAATATATAGCAATCAGAAAAGGAAAAAAAAAAGTATTTTCAGACTGAGAAACTACCATACCTGTTGCTATCATAAATAACTGGATAGACAGGGGAATCTTCAATTATATGCAAGAATTTCTTCAATTTCAAGTCAGACTGCATAAGAAAGTGTGAGAATTTAACATCATTTAATTTCATAAATATTAAATGGAAGGGGAATCTAGTAGGCTGTATAAACAAAGAATAGTGCTAAAAATGGCATTACCTCCATAAAGATAAAATAAAAACAAGAAAATAAAAGGGTGTCATCTCCAAATGAGCTAGAACTTATATGGGGTATGCTCAAAAGGAAAAGGAAAATAAAAATAACAAGAGAAGATATGATGACTTATCGTAGCATACTTTGTAAAATTCCATTAGCTCATCAGCTCTGAATTTTTTAACCTAGAGAAAAGGAAAAGGCAGACAAAGATGCCAGTTAATTGAAACAGTTATATTAAGTAGAAACAACTAGTGTTTGTTATTTTATCAATGGATTTGAGTATTTACAAAAAGATGGTTCCAGAATTACCACAAAAATCACTCAAGAAGAATTTATCTTCCCAAATATTAAAAAATATAAGGCAAAAGCATTCACTAACCTGCTTCAAAGGTACAAAATTTATCTCTGAAGGAGGCAAGGCCTGTGGAAGAAAAGTACACATAATACAAGGATATAATTCAGATCAACAATGATAAAATCTAAACTTCACATTGTATAGGCATCATAACTATAGTTCAAACAGCTATAAGAACAAAAACAAAATGTTGATAATCTCCCATGTATCAATGCACAAAGTACTACAGAGCCATGATCCTACTTGCAACAAACTGACGGTGAGACAATGTCACAAACCAAAGCAATTATTAAAAGAAGGATAGAGGCATAAAACTGCTAAACCATGGAAACTAATGTAAGGCTATCAACAACAACATACCTTTGGATGCATCAATCAGTTTTTTCACTTTACAACATAGGATTATCAACAGTTAATTCTCTTTTGTGTGATTTACAGGTCTGTTCTCTGAAACTGTTTTAAGTCATTTATTTCTCAGATACACCTTGAATGTGCTGGTGGACAGCAGCAGGCCTTTCAACGTTCTCATATGGGTCCATTTGTGATTTTGTTGCCTTTTTCGCCTGACAAGGATAACTACAACGGTGCTAGCCTTAGCTCTATTCTACTGTGTGTCAGAAAGCAGTGATACCTTCACATTATACATGGCTGTCGAGTGTCCTAGCATTTAATATGACTGAAAGATCGACTTGTAAACAGCAGGACAGAGAGACTGAACATGTGTATGTGTACCCATGCATGCATGTGTGGTAGTAAGGAGGGTAATTTGATAAACCAAAATTCAGATTCAGATTTTCCGAATGCTAAAATTCTGTATAAACGTATAACATGCAAGACAATCCATTGTTGTTGCTATTAAGTTGGAAGCTTTTACCAAAATGCTTCTAGGAAAAAATTGTTGGAGAGGTAGAAATGGAGGTGAAGGTTTCTACTAGCCACCGATGAAGCTTCCCAGAGTTTCAATCGAGAATTCTTTCTGGGCCTTTCTATATTTAAAAACGATAATTCTTTTTTCTTTTTTCCTTATTTCATGATAGAATACAGATTTGTCCAAGTGTTAAGAATGCCAGAATCTGACATAAAAAGAATTTGCAAAAGGATTATCTTGGAAATACTACCTGGAAGGCTAAGCAGCCTCCAATTCATGTCACCCAAAAGCACTAGGCATATTGACCAAGAAGATTAGTTCTTGCACACAAGGGACTCTTCTCATCAACTGGATTCAATCCCATTGCAGCAAGTGCTTCCCCACAACACCACCCGACCCCCAATCTCCATTTGTCAGTCCCATCTAACAGCTCACAAAATGTTGTCAGTCACTAGACTAATTATGAGTACTTGATGTTTTCTGGGGTATACAATAGAAGGCCACCAAATGTCATCTGGACCAGGTTCAACCTTGTCTAGCCTAAAGTATCTCCTATTCAAACAGACAAATGATGCTGCATTCTCCCTAATATCTGAGTAATGAAGCACTCTGTGTTCCTGATACTATATTTTATGGTTTTATCTCAAAAAACTGCAAGTTCCCATGAAAGCACACCTTTCCTCCAAACAAAACTTGCAAGGACGAATTTGACACACAACTGTGACAAAAATGCTTGCGGTGAAATGTGAACACAATAAACTACCAGCAAGGATGCTTCTATTAGGAAGGTAAGATTTTTCACAATAACTATGGCATGGAACTATACATTACTTGACAACAACGGATTCCGAAGACTAAAATCAACTGAACAATCAAATAACTATATAATTAGGTTTCTTCAGTAGGTACAAGTAAAACCTAGAATTAGTTCTAAGATCTACATTAGAACTTCAAACATAGTTTGGATATCGCTTACTAATCATAATTTATTGGCTAACTAGGTCTCGAGACTTTAATATTAAATACATGTAGTAAAATAGTGGAATGCATCCACTTTTTAGATCAAAGCAATATATAACTTCTTAGATCAAAGCTGTATAAAGCAAGTAAGCCGCTAGAGGTGGAACTTTAAGTAATAATTCACCTTATACAAGAAAAGGGTCAGAATTTATTTAGACAAAACAAACATAACTTATTAGCCATGGATTTTAGTATTTAGCTTCTTGCAAATAATATATGAGCCAGTGCAGTTGTTTTAAATATTACATTCAATTTAAACCACATTATTTCAGATGATGGCAGTAAAATAGCGCAGACCATTTAGATCATGATACAAATAAATCAAGGAAGTAATAAGAGTATGCTTTAATATAATGTTTTCACCTCATATGAGAAAGGAGCCTGAAGTGTGTCCAAATCATGAGTGCCAATAGCCACCAGAGTTCTCTTTCTGTAAAAGGAGAAATCCATGAGACCTCCAACAGAAAGATAAGGCACATCAAAGACACAGTTTTTGAAAAACATGACGAAACTGTACCGGCATATGTTTTGATGCAGCTTGTCTTGAAGGTCGATGAAGCTGTTGTAACTTGCTTCATTGAAAGTTATTCCTCTTAATACGGCACAAACAACAAACGGCCGAATCAGATTCGTCTGTTAAAACCAGCCCCGATTAGACATTAAAGTTTTTTACCCAATAGTAAAGAACTATAGCCTGTCCACCTGCCAGACAAATTGCTCAAGTCACAAAACAAAAATATTTTTTTTTATTCATATCACCTCGGGTTTAACATGCATTTTGAGCATAGATTCGATTGGAATATCAACGCATCTATAGACAGGTATCTTTTCCTTCCCGATAAAGATACGAAGGGCGCGTGCAATACCCTCAAGACAGAGCAAGTCATATCTACAAGATTAAACATAGGACTTTTATTGAACTTTTAAGCTACTCATCACTACTAACTTCTAAGCAGATCATCGTAAATTACATGTTAATCTTTCTCCTTTCTTATTACCTGTTAGCTGGAACCTCGATTTTGTAAATAATCTCCTCTCCATCTTCATCACCATTCTCCTCGCTCTGCAAATGCTTCTCCTTTCTAATTATCGCCTTTTCAGTGGTCTACAAACAAATTCATCGCAGATCTCATATAAAATTCAAGCAGCACAAACTATACAGAGCGATCAAATCAAAGGAGTCAAAATACTTACCACATCATCAAGTTCGATTCCGAACTCGAAGCAGAGCTCATCGAATTCCTCCTGCGCTGGAGATTTAACAAGAGAAAAAAAATGAGATCTTTTTACAAATTTTTGGAGAGGGAGGAATTAGGGTTTTCTTACTGTAGGCTTTGCCTAGGGCTTCGAAGAGGCGATCTCTTCCCACGCTGACCGTCGGCATTGCGGTGGCCAACGGAGGTAGAGGTGGCTGGTTTTGGCGGCGGCGGCGATGACCAAGAGAAGGGTTTTATGTATAAAACCTAGCTAGACACAGAGAGATGAATCGGGCGCTTTTTTTTTATTTTTTTTTTGAGTAACGGGTCGGGTGTAGATGCTTTTGGACTAGATTCGTATCCGGATCTAGAAAATAGGGCAACGCTGCAAATGTTTAGAAAATAATCAGAATACAAAATCAATATCAAATAATAAAAACTAAACAAATAATAAAAACTAAGCAAGACTTAACATTGAACCAATTTGAGTTAACAAACAAGACTTAACACTGAATAGGTTAGGCTTCATAATCTTCCTATTAGACTTAAGATTGAACTTATTAGACTTAAGACTACTTTCATTACAATTAACATTCTTTTAATTAAACTAAAACATCTTCAAATTAGCCTTAACTATCAACCGAGTAGACTTAATATTCAACTTTATAGATTTAACATTCAATCAATTATAATTAATAACACATAAATTAGACTTAACATACCACGCTTTAGACTTAACATGTAACTACTTACAGTTAACATACTACAAATTAGACTTAACATACAACGCTTTAGATTTAACATATAACGACTTGCAGTTAACATTCTAGAAATTAGACGTAACATATAATCTATTAACTTAACATTCTACCTTTAGACTTATTATTTAACCCAAATGACTTAACATAAAAGCTCTTAGACTTAACTTTCAACTCATTAGACTTAACATCATAATATTGAACTTAACATCAAAAATTGTCAACCAGAAATCACATTTGGCCGGTATTTCTTTAAATATTCCTTTTTCAACAATGTCCAAACAGGAATTATAAATTTCTTTTGAAAAAAGTCTGATAACTTACAAGTCTTATGAAGCTTGCTTGTTGTTATGTAAAGGCAAATCCTCTGTTTTTAGAAAAGCTTTCAAGTGAATTTCTTTATATCCAATATTGCATCGATGCTCCACCATAGACAACGGATCATTTTTGTTCTCAGTGGAAAAATAAAGTTGTCATTTGTTTCATCTTCATATGCCAACAATAAAGAATCGTATGGAAGTTTTAACCTCACCGACACATCAAATTTTTGTTCCATCATGGTGGTTGAAGGGTTAATTTTTAAGAAAACTGTTTTATCGCTGAAGGAGACCATGCAGATGATAGCCTTCTCAGTCATTAATGAAGGAATGGTAGAAGGAGTAATGGAGAGAATTTTAGGACGAGAGGAGTATTGAAGAGCAAAAACCTTAACAATTACGTAGAGAGTTATTACTCGTGATAGAGAAAAATGGGGGGTTGGGGGGATTTCCTCCAATTCCTCCATTAGATCACCATTAATGGAATCTGACGTTTGCGCATAGTTTGAATTGATGGGGGCGCTGCATCCGGGGAAGGAGAAGGGCATTTTAGGGTTTATTTGAAAATACAGTACATTTTCTCTATACAGGTGAAGTGGAGGGGCCCGAATGCATATAATGACTTTTTTTAAATCTGATCTACAATGGGAAAAGGTGGAAGGGTATGGTCACATAGCATTCTTTATATTGGGGCATTGACATAATTTTCCCTTAAATTTAAATTCCTCAGCATGTGGTGGTTTCCATAAATTCACCCCATCGATCTGCCTTCTCGATCCCTCACCAATCTCCCTTAAAATAGCTCTACATAGTTTATCAAGAAACTCAACTGATCTTGCTCACACATAATCTAAAGCTGGCAGACTGTGTTCACGAAGTAAGAACTTGTTACGATGGTTCCAAAGTAACTAACCGACTACACACAGAGTTGCAAATGAGAAGTGTTAGAATTAAGTATTGGGTTATCGGGTTAAGACCCAATAACCTATTATCTATTTGTACTCCTATATATATGTATCCATGAGGAGAAACCCTAAGTAAAGAATTCTGATTTACCATTTCAACATGGTATCAGAGCCGGCCCTAACCTTGATTCCCCAACCCTAGACGCCAAAAAAAAAAAAACTAACCCTAATTAGGGTCGGATTGCTCTCATCTTCTTCTTCGCGAGCGAGCTCAGAGATGACGGTGGAGGAAACCCCAACCCTAGCCACCAAAAAAAAACTAATCCTAATTCCTGCCGGATCCAGTGAGGATCGGACTGCTCTCATCTTCTTCTTCGCGAGCGAGCTCAGAGATGACGGTGGAGGAAACCCCAACCCTAGCCGCCAAAAAAAACTAATCCTAATTCCTGTCGGATCCAGTGAGGATCGGATTGCTCTCATCTTCTTCTTCGCGAGCGAGCTCAGAGATGACGGTGGAGGAAACCCCAACCCTAGCCACCAAAAAAAAACTAATCCTAATTCCTGCCGGATCCAGTGAGGATCGGACTGCTCTCATCTTCTTCTTCGCGAGCGAGCTCAGAGATGACGGTGGAGGAAACCCCAACCCTAGCCACCAAAAAAAAACTAATCCTAATTCCTGCCGGATCCAGTGAGGATCGGACTGCTGCCCCGATCTCTTCTTCACTTGAGCTGAACGAGAGGAGAGTTTTGGACTTGTTATTTTTTCACTGGGTTGGCCTACGGGTTTTATTGTGTTGTGTTGCCTTTTTCCGTTCTATTTGAAATTGTTGTTCAGCTGCTACTGATGTTGTTTTATCTCTTTGTTTATGTTTGGGCCTTCTGTTGTTAGGCCCGGTAGTTAGATTTTGAGTGTAGAGAGGTATGTATGCTTGTCTGATTTGTTCTCTTTCTTGACGAAAGAGTCTAGAGAAATTTAAACACACCAAAAAAAAACTAAAAACAAAAACAAAAAAAGAGGACAAAAAAAATCGGATTCCATGTTAACCTTCGGGTTTTCATTCTAACCTTTGGGTTCTAACCCGGGTTCTAATCTTCGGTTTCTATTCTAACCTTCGGGATTCTGTTTTAACCCTTTGGTTTCTATTCTAACCTTCAGGTTTCTGCTTTAAACCTTCAGCTTTTATACTAGAAGATTGTGATCCTCTTGCTACTATACTATCCTATTCTGTAACAATGACAGGATCTGACATCTCTTCTGCTGCAATTACTACCCCTACTATTGCTGATATTTCTGGCCCTAAAGTTGTATTGGGGACCACTGTGAAATTAAATGGCACAAATTATCTCCTCTGGGCACAGGCATTTCGCATCTTCATTGGAACTCAAAACAAATTGGCTCATCTTCTGGCCCCTCCGCCTTCTTCTACAGATCCTACGTATCCCGCATGGATCTCTGCTGACTGTTGTGTGATGACTTGGCTTCTTAATAGCATGGAAGTCCAGATTAGTAGCAGTGTTATGTTCTCAAACACTGCTAAGGAGATGTGCGATAATTTAAAAATTATGTACGGGAATGAGAAAAATATATCCCGTGTGTTCGAGTTGTATGAACGCCTTTTCTCTCTTCAACAGGGCGATCGCGATGTACCTAAATACTTTGATGAGCTGAAGAGTCTAATCGATGAATTAGAGATGCATCAGCCTATCGTTATGGATGCACCAACTCTGTTGGGATATCGTTGGATATCGTTGGGACCTTGCAGTCTCCAAGTTCTTATCAAGATTGAGCCCTACTTTGCAGTCTCATATACGAGGCCAAATACTCGGGGGTGATATTATCCCTTCCTTGACTGCTACATTCTCTAGAGTTATGCAGGTAACCCCTGGAGTGACTACTACATCTCCCACACTGACCGCTCCATCACTTGATCAGTCTATTATGTTCTCTGAACGTGGCAGAGGACGTGGTCATGGTCGAGGACGTGGCCGCGACACAGGGGGAGGACGTGGCACCTTTAGGAGACAGCTTGATTCAGATAAGACTATGCGTCCATGCAGACATTGTGGGAGGACTAATCATATCTCTGAAAAGTGTTGGGAGAAGTTTGGTCGTCCTGCATAGGCACAAGTTGCTGATATTACACCTACCTCTATTGATTCTCCGACTACTTCTGCTCCCTCCACTGTTCAAATTTCGCAAGATGAGTATGACCGGTTGCGTCAACTCGAGCCCTCTTAGAATAGTTATTATGCTACTTATGTATCCTCTTCAGGTATGGATGCCTACATTGTCTCTCCTCACAAGCCATGGGTATTAAATTCTGGTGCCTCTTCTCATATGACAGGTATAAAGGATCACTTTGTTTCTTTAAAACTGTCTGACAAGTTTCCATCGGTCCGTATTGCTGATAGTACATACTCTTCAGTTCTTGGTGATGGAGTAGTACATGCTACTTCATCACTAACCCTTACTGACGTCTTATATCTTCCAAAATTTCCTGTCAGTTTATTGTCTATCAGTCAGTTCACCAAACACAACAACTGTAAAGTAACATTCTTTCCTTCTTATTGTATTTTTCAAGACCTAGCAACTGGGATGACGATTGGTTCGGGGCATGAGAGAGGAGGCATGTACTATTTGGACGATAATATGCCCGCTACTAGTCTTGTTTCAAGCAAATATGATCATCCTTTACTATAGCATCAACATCTTGGTCATCCCTCATTATCGAAGCTTAGATCTATTCTTCCTATCTCATCCTCTATTTCTTCTTTAGGTTGTGAGTCTTGTAAACTGGGTAAGCACCATCGTGCTACCTATCCGAGTCGTATTGATAAACACAATAGTTCTGTATTTGAGTTAGTCCATTCTGATGTTTGGGGTCCTTGTCGTATACCTTCAGTGAAAGGTTACAAATATTTCATTGTCTTTATTGATGACTTCTCTCGCATGACTTGGCTTTATCTATTAAAAGAGAGATCTGAGGTTTCGACTATTTTTGAAATCTTTTACAAAGAAATCAAAAACCAATTTTCCACCTCTATTTGTATGCTTTATACCGATAATGCGTTGGAATACATGAAAAATGACATATCTTGTTTTTGTGCAAATATTGGTATTATCCATCAAACTTCATGTTCTCACACTTCACAACAAAATGGGGTTGCTGAGAGGAAGCATAGACACATTTTAGATGTTGCTAGAACCCTGATAATACATATGCATATTCCAAAGTATTTGTCGTCTGATGTTGTTCTCAGTGCATGTTTCCTGATTAATAGGATCTCTTCTCCTGTTTTTAATGGTACAATACCGTTTACCTGCATTTATCCTGACAAAAAACCTTTTCCTGTGATTCCTCGTGTTTTTGGATGTACTTATTTTGTTCAGGATTTATCTCCAAGACTGGATAAAATATCTCCTCGGTCTATTAAGTGTGTCTTTGTAGGCTACTCGCGTACTCAAAAAGGTTATTGGTGTTATCACCCTTCCACCAGGAGATATTTTGTGTCAGCAAATGTAACTTTTTTTTAGTCTGTTCCATACTTCTCCTCGACTGGTTCATCTCCACCTGTCAATCCATCTGTGCCTACTCCGTTTATTGCTCCTACTACTGTTCCATCACCCGCTTTCGTTCCTTCAGCTAATGGATCTTCTCTAGGACTACAAAATGCCTCTACTGTGCCATCTGCACCACCGTCACTACTGACGTATTGTCGCCGTCCAAAAATTTATGTTTCTCTCTCTGCTCTAACCGAACAGTCATCTCTCGTTGCAGGTCTGTCTCCTTCTAATATTTCTAACTCCTCTGATCTGGACATTCCAATTGCTCATCGGAAAGGTAAACGGTCTTGTACTAATCATCCTATATCTGATTTTGTTTCTTATGACCGTCTTACTCCCTCTTCTCGTCAGTTTGCTTTGTCCTTGTCCTCTATATCTCTACCCAGCTCCTATGAGGAGGCCATGTTAGTTCCTGCTCGGAAACAAGCCATGGATGAGGAGATGGATGCACTTGTTTCTAGAAGAACTTAGGATCTTGTATCTTTTTCCGACGGGTGCTACTGTGGTTGGCTGTCGGTGAGTTTATACTTTGAAGTATCGCACAGATGGTTCGATTGATCGATATAAAGCTCGTCCTGTCGCTAAGGGTTATATTCAAACCTATGGGGGTATACTATCTTGAGACGTTCTCTCCCGTAACCCATGTTAACTCCATTCGCCTACTTTTCTATATGGCCGTTAATCTGGACTGGACAATATTTCAGCTGGATGTTAAAAATGCCTTCTTGTATGGTGACTTGCAGGAGGAAGTCTATATGGAGCAACCTCCGGGGTATGTTGCTCAGGGGAAGAATATTGTCTGCAAGCTTAAAAAGGCTATTTATGGTCTCAAACAGAGTCCACGGACATGGTTTAAGAAATTTAGTACTACTATATCTGGTGTCGATTTCAAATGATATCAGTCTGATCACTCCGTCTTTATCCGACACACTACATCTGGTCTAGTGATTCTGACAATATATGTTGATGACATCTTGCTAACTGGGAGTGACTTTGCTGCCTTAGCAGAGACTAAGGAGTAACTTTCACGTTACTTTGTGACCAAAGATATAGGAAAACCCAAATACTTTCTTGGGATTGAGATTGCATATCAAAAGGACAATTTGCTTCTATCTCAAAGGAAATATGTATTGGATTTATTAGAAGAGATAGGCCTTTTGGGGGTGTAAGCCAGCAAACACCCCCATGGAGGTGAATGTGGATTTGTGGCGTGATAATAGTCCTCTCCTAGATGATGCAAGCCGATATAGGAGATTGATTGGCAAGTTGATCTATCTTACTGTAACTAGACCTGATATTACCTTTATAGTAGGAGTACTGAGCAGGTTTATGCATAAACCTAGAGAGGTTCACTAGACTGCTGCTCTGAGAATTTTAGGTTATGTTAAAAGCTGTCCGGGAAAAGGATTGATGTATAAAAAACATGGATATTTACACATCTATGCCTATTCTGATGCTGGGTATGCGGGAGATATTGGAGATAGAAAGTCTACTTCTGGATTTTGCACATTTATTGGAGGAAATATGATTACCTGGAGGAGCAATAAACAATATGTAGTATATCGATCTAGTGCAGAGATAGAATACAGAGCTATGGCTCATACTGTTTGTGAGATGATATGGTTACAGAAGCTGCTGATCGAGCTTGGTTTTACTCAGTCTGAATCTATGCCTATGCATTGTGATAATCAATCTGCTATCCATATTGCAAAGAATCTAGTGTTTCATGAGAGAACTAAGCACATTGAAGTTGATTGTAATTTTGTCAGAGATGCTTGGGAAAGAAAGTGATCTCTCTTCAGTTCACTTCGTCTTCAGAACAGTTAGCTGATATTTTCACTAAAGCTACTTCACCTAAGGTGTTTTCCATTCTGTGTAACAAGCTGGGCATGATTGATATATATGCTCCAGCTTGAGGGGGAGTGTTAGAATTAAGTATTGAGTTATCGGGTTAAGACCCAATAACCTATTACCCATTTGTACTCCTATATATATGTATCCATGAGGAGAAACCCTAAGTGAGAAATTCTGATTTACCATTTTAACAAGAAGCATCCAATCCATTCACGCATCAAAGAAAATAGTCACGGAAATATTCATATCAACCAATATGTAGGTGAGCATATCCGGATCCATCCCTCATTTCCTGGTTAAGAACACATGAATAGAGCGTGTTCTATAGTTTCGACCTCCTCATTGCACTAAAAGCACTATAGATTTATTAGAACATGACGAGAACTTATATTAGCAACCACCAGAAGAATCTCATGCCATGCACGATACAAAAAAACTCTTAATTTTATATGGCATTGAGAGGCTAAGGCCGAATGGATTTCTCCATATTACTACATTCTCCTCCACCATCTCGAGCCCTTTCTTGTTTAATATCTATAGCAGCGTGACATCCTAACTTTATTGAGAAAACTCTTGAACTTGTAAAATGCCTTATGATGTGGATTTTGTACAAGTTTGTCAAACATTTATTTTGTAAAAAGATAAAATTAAAAGTCTAAAACAAATGCATTGTAAAAATGTACTGTTCATGCACTTTCAAAAACTACACACACACATTCACAGCACATATGACTACTAGTCACATGTGCCTTTTCCCGAAAACTAACTGTAAAATGCACGAGACTACTAATCTGTGCGCTTTACAGCTAGCTTCAAAACTATTGTGTTTTATTTTTATTTGTTAAATGAAAAATTGTACAAGTTATAGAATTTTGTAAAGAAGAAGAAAAAAGAATTCATAGGCTCCATAGATTTGCAACAAATAATCATATTGATCCATTGAAAAAAAAAAATGAACAAGCTACAAATCTACACCAAGCATTTAGATATTTTCATACAAGCTAAAACAATTTTAACTAAGCATTCTTATTGATCCATTAGGGGAAAAAGTCATTCATGAAAAATAAGGACATAAAACTCTATACATTTCTATTGCATTTCCTTCAGAAAAATTACAAACCATCACATCCAAAGTTTTATTGATCTCTATTTCTCATTCCTTCCAAAACCATTCATAAGACACATCACAACCAAAACAATTAGAAAAAGCTTTAATAAACTACAACATGTACCTCCCATCCTCATTATTTGTATATCTTTCTTTCAATTGTAAATTCTCATCTTTAAATATTTTGTTCTCAAATGCCATCCTCTTTCTTTCTTCTTCCAATTCGACATACATCTAATCTTCTTCTCAAATATGATCATATTTATCATCACTTTTGGCCTACCGACGATCTCATCAAAACATTGCACAAAAAAGTCACATCTTTTGGTACTCATTGAATAATCATAGAAATGATAGCTATAAAATCTTCTTCTATGCTTTGTTTCATACACGGGAATGAGTGAGAATGGAATGTAATTCCTACTTCTCATTCATGCATAGTAAACATGATGTGTTTTTGGATACCAGAAATGTCATTCTCACTTCTCCTCTATTGCCACTTATTATGGAAACTGTTATTCCCAATGAGTTATCAAGAAATTGATATTCCCACTAAATAAAAATAATAAAATAAATTCTAGATATACCATTCTCAAAGATATTTCCACTTAATTCTTTAATTGCATCCAAACATGAGAATGAGAATGTGCATTCCATTCCCACATCAATTTCGTTCTATTTCTACATTCATTCCATTCTCATTTGACTCTGTTCCCATGTGTCAAACAAGGCACTAGGGTTAGCTTCAATTTGAGAAATTAGCAAAGCAGCCTTAAATTTGCTTTTGCAATGCACCTGAATGAAGTTCCACGAGAAGAAGACTAACCACTAGTAAAAATATCTTAGGAGAGTGAATTATCTGACATCTCTCTTCAACTTGTAGATAAAACCCAAAAATTTGCTATTATTTCTTCTTATTAGGAGAGAAATTTGTAGGATCTGATCCAATCACACTAAAACACTAGAGGGGGTGAATAGTGTTCTATTAAAAATTAATGCAAAGAAGATTATAATTTGCAAAGAAATAGCACAATCATAGAAAATAACAATCACAAACACAGAATTTTATACTGGTTCCACCTTCCATGTGTACATCCAGTCCCCAAGCAAATCCCGCTTGAGAGTTCCACTATGATTTTGAAAAACTTACAAAATCAAAACATCAAACCTGACCAATTTGCAAGTCCCTGCAAATTGCACCTAATCTCTTCACTAAGAGATTGCACCTCTCACACCCGAGAGAACACTTGTCTTGATACAACTTGATTCCTATAACCCTTGATAGTATTGTGATGTGTACCAGTGGCTAGGAATGTTTTGAATCTCTGAAAATTGCCTATCTTGATTGTATATTGAATGAGGATCAAAGACAAAATCAGAAAATGATTTTTCTCAACACTTAGTGAAAATCTGGAAATTTTTCTTTTGAAAGATGCACAAAACTTAAATCTTATGTATATGAATTCGTGACCCAAAATTCTGAACATATAACATATTTATAGCCTTGAAAAGACAGGTTTTCAAACCCTCAAAACATACACAAAACGACTATAAACTGTTATAAATTTGAATTCTAATATGTCAGAAAACTGTCTTAGTAGTCGACTATAATAATTATTAGTCGACTACTCTGTAACACAGAAAGTCTGGAATTCAAAAATCGAAGCTAAGTAGTCGACTACTCTGTAAAACAGAAGTTCTGGAATTCAAAATTCAAAATTCAAAGCTCAGTAGTCGACTATAATCAGTTGTAGTCGACTACTCTGTAAAACAAAAGTTCTAGAAATCAAAATTCAATACTGAGTAGTCGACTATAATCAGTTATAGTCGACTACTCTATAATTTTACAGAAACTTATATTTTGATCTTAGACTTCAATAGTCGACTACTAATCTAATTAGTCGACTACTAAGGGGTGAAAATGTCATGTATGAAATATTTTAGACTCAATGGTTAACTAAAAACTCTAATGATTAACATAGGGGATTTCTATTATTAACCAACATATTAAGCCTGTGTTAATGTATTCTAATATCTATGTGTGTGTATGTGTGAGTGATCAAGGCTTATACAGTATTTCTAAGTAAACAAAATGTAAAAAATTACATTGATATATAAGCTCTTCATCTTATTTATTTCTTGATGCCTTGAACTCATCTTGTATTTGTTCATGTTGATAACTACATTGAAATGTTAGTACATACACATAGTGATCGACATTATGAATAAATTGTTATCATCAAAAGTATATCATGGGAACATGATATCCAACAAAATTAATGGATCTAGGGTTTAGTAGTTGGGAAAATATGAATCCAGGGTTTGAGTTAAAAGGACGAATGATTTTTTTTTTTACTTCAAGAGAAGTGCAAAAAAATTGTTTTTTTTAAACTTTTCTCCATCTCTAACAAAATATTTTGCAAGTGAGTTCCATTTTAACTGGTTTGGTTGGGGGAGGTCACATGCAAAACACGTGAGCTCTAATGAGGATATTCTTAGAATTTGAGGAAAAACGTGGGATGAGGTAGTTGATTGGAACAAAAAGATAAATAGCAAGCGGTTTTGATAGAAATTGAAAACATAAGATAGTTATGGTGAGTTTACCCTAAACATAAAATGGTTTCGTGGAACCCCCCCATAAAATAAGACATGATATTATCTAAACAAATTACACATGCTTTTCGTTCATCCAAAATTATCCTACACTACTTAATGAAGATACCCAATGTTAAAAACCATCGTCCCACCAAATTACCCTACCAAACTATCCCCCTTCAAAAAATTATCCACCGTTAATCCACACTCATCCCATCAATTTAACCTACTCTCAGGAAATTATCCCGCTTCAACTATTATCCCATTGCTACATGAAAAGGGACAAATTTTCAAAACCAACCTATTTACAAATTTAATCGCAGAAAACAACCTATTTTAGATTTAATTGCAAAAACCGACCTGGTTTTAGCCTTGGAGCTGAAATCAGGTCGGTTTTTGAAAATTTTTATCCGAAACTTCACGGGAGTTGAACTCCCGCGAAGTTTCGTAGTTCAATTTTTTTTTTGTACTGGGAAACTTCACGGGAGTTCAACTCCCGTGAAGTTTCGAAAGTTTTTTCACAAAAACCGACCTGGTTTCAGCGCCAAGGCTGAAACCAGGTCGGTTTTTGCAATTAAATCTGAAGTGGGTTGTTTTCTGCGATTAAATTTGTAAATAGGTTGGTTTTGAAAATTTGTCCACTTGAAAAGTTTCCACTTGACTGACCCCAAAAGCTGGGCCGGACCTAGCCCCCTGAACCGTCACCCGGTACCCGCATGACTACTCCCCTACTCAAACTACCCCCTAAAACCCAACGCTCCCCGTGAAGTCTTTTCATGGCGTCATAACCCGAGATCGATCGAATCCCGTCTACCAACCACCCGAATAAAAATGCACCGCCGTCTCCTCCCCCTCCTCCCCCTCCTTGCTCTCCTCACCCCTCCACCACCGCTGGAAGAAAGGACGAGTTCCTGCACTGCAACAAACCCCCTCTCGCAAGCGCTCCCGCCACCGCCCGCCCCACTCCTCCCCCTCTCTCCGCCTCCGACGTCTCCATCTCCGACGGCCTCGTCACGCCCGCCTCCTCCCCTCCCGCCCTCAACCTCTCCCAGGTCACCGACCCGGCCCAGAGCCCGAGCCGACGCCCGCCCGAGCCCTAATCCTCCAGCTCTCCGTCTACACCCCCGGGTCCTCCGCCTCAAGAATCGAGACGGACTACTCCGATTCCCCCGTCCCTAAGCGCCGATTCGAGGTCCCCGACGTCCTCCTCCCGACTCGACGCCGGCCGCCTCTACCTCTCCCGGTTCCGCTCTGCGGACCAGTCCTCGTCGGTCTTCTTTCTCTCTGATGGATTTGAGGCCGTGATCAAGCACGACCCGTTCGAGCTCGTGGTTAGGTCCTCGGACGGGGCGAAAGATCCGATCTTGTCGCTGAATTCGTACGGGTTGTTTGATTTCGAGACGCTTAGGGTTAGGAAAGAGGGGGAGGATTGGGAGGAGAGGTTTAGGTCGCATACGGATACGAGGCCGCACGGTCCACAGTCGATTAGCTTTGATGTGTCTTTCCATGGGGCTGAGTTTGTGTATGGGATCCCGGAGCATGGGTCGGATTCACTGGCGTTGAAGTACACTAGAGGTCCAGGGGTGGAGGAGTCAGAGCCTTATAGGTTGTTTAATCTTGATGTGTTTGAGTATCTGCATGATTCGCCGTTTGGGATTTATGGGTCGATTCCTTATATGATTTCACATGGAACGAAATCGTCAGCTGGGTTCTTTTGGCTCAATGCTGCAGAGATGCAGATAGATGTTCTTGGTCCTGGGTGGAGTGGGGATGATCAGAGTGGGAAGAAGAGAGTTGATACTCTTTGGATGACTGAAGCTGGGATTGTGGATGCATTCTTCATGGTTGGCCCGGGACCAAAGGATGTGATGAGGCAATATGCGAGCCTCACTGGGACTCAGGCGATGCCGCAGGAGTTTGCGATAGCGTACCACCAGTGCCGATGGAATTATAGAGATGAGGAGGATGTGGCTAATGTAGATAGTGGGTTTGATGAGCATGATATTCCTTATGATGTGTTGTGGCTTGATATAGAGCATACTGATGCAAAGAAGTACTTTACTTGGGATAGAGTGTTGTTCCCTAACCCGGAGGAGATGCAGAAGAAGCTGGCGGCAAAGGGGAGGCGCATGGTTACGATTGTTGATCCTCATATTAAGAGGGATGATTCGTATTATATTCATAAGGAGGCGACGGAGAAGGGTCACTATGTAAAGGATGCATCAGGGAAGGATTTTGATGGGTGGTGTTGGCCTGGATCATCATCGTATCTTGATATGCTAAGTCCGGAGATAAGGGAGTGGTGGGCGGAGAAGTTTTCATTGGAGAATTACAAGGGTTCTACTCGCTCGTTGTATATATGGAATGATATGAATGAACCTTCAGTGTTTAATGGCCCTGAGGTATTTGATTTTGTGGTTTCACTATTCTTTGTACCTATTTTTATTATGACTTGTGATTACAACTTACCACAACTTTTTAAACTTACCAAATCAATAAGCAAGGAAAAGTTTACATTTGGATACTGTTGACTTGCTAGCCTGGAACTCGTATGTAAAACAAAATTGACATCAATGCTTGTCTAGGTATTAACTGCATATTGTATCTGCACAAACACGAATAGTGAGAGCTAACCTTGAGCTATAATATATTTGCTTGAGGAACATAAGGTCACAGTGATGCCAAATAGAGGTGATTCCGGGACTTGTACTAGGCTTAAGTTCACCACAAATAAAATCTGGTCAATGGGTCTTTTTTTCATCATAGAAACCATTGAGATGGTTTACTAGACTATATGATCTGCTGCTTTACTGTTAGAAAGAAGATTTCCTGTCCTTGTCCTTCATACTTAAGTTAACTGGCTTTATTGTTTGTCGCAATTGGAGTTATTTGTTCCATTATTTGTTCTCTCTGTCACCTCCCACTTAGAATTTTGGACTTATTTCTCTTTTTCCACATTTGTCATTTCGTATTATATTATATGTATTGAATAAAGCCACATTTCAATAGTAAAAAACAAGGGTTTAGTGACTCCATTTTTAATTTGCTTAACATCTTTAATAGGTAACTATGCCTAGAGATGCTATCCATTATGGAGGCGTGGAGCACAGGGAGGTACATAATGCCTATGGATACTACTTTCATATGGCAACATCTAATGGGCTATTAAAACGAGGTGATGGAAAGGACAGGCCTTTTGTTTTGTCACGGGCTTTCTTTGCAGGAAGCCAACGGTATGGTGCAGTCTGGACAGGAGATAATTCTGCAGATTGGGACCATCTCAAAGCTTCAGTCCCAATGGTTTTAACCCTTGGACTTACCGGCATCTCATTCTCTGGTGAGAATCCTTAGTACACCTTATGCCATCAATACTTCCTCTCTTTTTTTTGACTTATTCTGATGTATAAATGTCATGCAGGAGCTGATGTTGGTGGTTTCTTTGGGAACGTAGAAACTGATTTGTTAGTGCGTTGGTACCAATTAGGAGCTTATTATCCTTTCTTTAGGGCCCATGCCCATCATGATACAAGGAGACGAGAACCATGGCTATTCGGGTATTCTTTCTTGTGTCTCATTGCTCAATATCAATTCGGGTTGTCTCTCTTTAGCAGATTGCTTTTATACTTGGACATTAATTTTCAGTCTGTATCAATTATTTGTATTAAACAATTTTGTATCGAGTGTGTCAGTTCCCTTATCCTCTCACCTTTGCTTGTGCTCCCTCTTCTTGACACTCTTTGCTCCGTTATTCATTATAAGACGGTTCGAGTTCAGTTCAAGATTCGTATGACACAATTTTATATCCATGATTGCCAGCTCCCTTATTTGCTCATGTTTGCTTGTCCACCCTCTTCTTGATGCTATTCTTTATTGCTGCTTTATTCATTTTAAGATAGTTATAATTCAATTGCCCACATATTCTACTTGGTTTACCAATTACCATTAAAAGGTTCCTATTATTTGCTAGTTAATGTGTAATCAAACATACACCATTATTGGGCTTTTAAATTTCTAAATGTTGTCCTGGTTATTCTTAAAACTCATTTATCTTATATTCATAGCTTCTTTTTTTTTGAAACCATTTATGCGTATTTTTCAGTTGGCAGCTAATTGTTTACGCTATCGTTTTAGTTTCACAAAAATAAAGAAAAATAGATTACAACCACAGATAATTTGATGCATCCCTATAGCTGTCTAGTTCGTCAAGTGTATAACAGTCTAAGTGCAACTGATAAGTGATAATAATGTTTATTAAGAAGTTTTGTTGACAATCAACATACTAATTTGGAGGAAGGAAAATTCAAGATAAAATATAAACGCCAGGAAATGGCATTGTGAGTTCTTTTACACCTCCAACATAATGCAAGGGCCTGCGGTTCCATTCACATGTATTGCATTGGTAGATGGTGTATTTTCCTCACCTGTTTAAGAAATAGACCATGAGTTAACTAGCTTTTTATTGTTAGAAGGAAGACTTTCTTTACACCACCATTGGTTGTGGGACTATACGAAGATAATTAAGGTTAACTTGCTTTTTATTAGATTAGGCTAAGAGCTAAACAGGGAGGTGGATGCCGTGGCTATAATATTACATTAAGACTCAGGCCAGATATTTTTGTCAAGAATTGCGGTTATGGCTATGTTATACAATACGAGGTGTGTTCATGCTGAAATAAATTGTATTATTTATAGTGTATTTAGGCATACATGCATGGTATGCTTTGAATGCACCGCATTCTTGAACCAATGTTTTAAAAAGCCTCTGTCTAGCCCACCTAGGCGGTACCTGGGCAGCATGCCTAGCATATAGGCGGTAACTAGGCTGCAGCCAACCTAGATTTTGGGAGTGCCTAGAGGAGTGTGGTCTGCTTACTTAGACTGCACCCTTTAGGCCTTAGTCGTGATTTCGTCTGTTGCATTCTCCACATCCTCCAACCTCTTCCAAACTCCTCCAGCCTCCAAGTATGACCACCACTTAAACGAAGGAGGAAAAAAATCCACCCAGACGCTAGTTTGGCGCCTAAGCTTTCTATAACATTGGCATTTACTATCAATTATTGTAATTAGAAAATAAAAAATAGAAAAACTGCCTAGGCCCCGCCTAGGCTCTAGGTGTGGGGTTCAATGCCGAGGCCGCCTAATGCTTTCTGTAACCTTGGCTTGAGCATATAAACATTTTGTAGATATATGCATGATATTCTTACATCATCAGTTTTTGGATTAGAATAAAGAGGTTAAGTTTACAAGTATTTTATATGGAGGAGCTACATAGAGAGGTGGGAGCCATGGCTTTTAGGACCCATAGCAGATAAGTCTGCATTACTCTGGTATGCAAACAGTTGGAACACTTTCTTGGATCACTTATATTGTAGCTTCTGTAGTATACATGTTTATGCATACAAGCATTGGGTGCTTGTACATATAGATATTTTATCCTCACATACACAACCAGAATTGGAGAGGAAGAGAGGAATGCAACCGAATGTATGATTATATATCTCCATGTGCACGTGCATGAACACATAAGAATATACATAATTTGACTAGATTCCTACCGATAGGGATTTTGATATTTGGATCATATCAAATGGAAATATTTTTTAGCATCAAAATTTATACCCATCTAGTTTCCTTTAATTGCATTCTGATTATTGTGCAAGCTAATCCAAAGTTTTATTATGGGGTCTGTATGATTATTTGAATTGAATTTTTTGTTTGATTCATTTTGTAAAGTAGAATTGCAAGTCCAATTCATGCTATTTGGTTACTTGAAATTGAGATACTGATGCCTTCTAGTTCCAATTTGTATCGTGTTTTTAAATGTATTCAGAATCTTATCTTTGCTATAGATAGATGCAACTTTAAAAAAGATAGAATTTGAGTTCATGCATATCATATTGAATTCCGACCCAATAGAAGGCTTGAGTTGCATAACATAATTGGAAATACCAGTGAGGTAAGAGACCAAGATATCTACATTTCCCTTAAATCTTGAAATTAAAATTCTGGACTTCTAACTACTGATAACCTGCTGTGCACTAATACATCTTAGATTTATTTTATTATCTCATCCTTTTTAATGTAGAAAGTCTGTAAGGCAGGTAACGTTGGTAGTCTGTAAGGCAGGTAACGTTGGTTGAACATAGTTATTTATTCTGATAATGATGAATCCCATCTTTCTTGATGCATTTATGCAGAGAAAAGAACACCGCTTTGATGAGAGAGGCTATACATATTCGATATTCACTGCTACCATATTATTATACCTTGTTTAGAGAGGCTAGTTTGAGCGGTATCCCTATAATGCGTCCTTTATGGTTGGAGTTCCCTGATGATAAGGAAACATTTAACAATGGTGATGCCTTCATGGTTGGTCCAAGCATATTAGTCCAGGGGATTTATCAAGAGGTATTATCTAATGGCTAAATAACACTTAAATACCTTATAGTTTCACTCATTTAGTACTTATATACCCTCAATTATTTTTTTAGCAACTATTTACCTTAAGTTGCTTAAAATTGGCACATTAGTACCCTTTATTATGCAAACATGTAAATTTTCACATGTTAATTTTAGAGCTTTTTAATCATTAATACTTGTTAAATTTACAATTAACCCTACCCAAATTCTAATTTAAATGTATACCAATTCTATTTTAAAAATAGAATTTGGATAGATTTAACAGTAAATTCAACAAATTTAATAGTTAGAAAGTTATAAAATTAGCACATGAATGTTATATGAGAACCTTTGGACAAAAGTTTTCATGTTTGCATAACGGAGGGTGCTAATGTGCTGATTTTAAACAACTGAGGGTTTGTAATGCTATGAAAAACAATTGAGGGTATATAAGTGCTATGCGAATGAAACTCTTAAGGTATTTAAGTGCTATTTAGCCTTGTATAATTCATTTTTATTGTATATCACATTGTGTGCCATCAGCTTTAATTGTATGTGAGTTGACCTTTTCTTTTGGCTTTTCTTTTAATGTTTGACAGGGGCAAAAATCTGTATCAGTTTATCTACCTGGCAAAGAGTCTTGGTATAATCTGAGAAATGGCCTTTCTTTTGCTGGAGGTGTAACCCACAAACTTGAAGTTTTAGAAGACAGCATACCTAGTTTCCAGAGAGCAGGTACAATTGTACCAAGAAGAGAGAGATTCCGGAGAAGTTCAACTCAAATGGTGAATGACCCCTACACTCTGGTATGTTCTTATGCTTCAGCAGCTTTCTTTTCCTGCTCAATCTCCATTCTTTACTTTAAGTAGGGGCTGAGGTTGAATGAGTTGTTATCAAATTGTTCCTTAATTGTTTGTGTGGTTATATATTGACATTTGATTCAGATGTTTATTTTCATGAAAACAAATAGTTTTTAGTACATGTGTTCAATTCTTTTTCTTATTGAATTATTTGGTCAGGACATATGTATGTAACCCCTTAAAACTCTAATGTGTTGCACACTTCACATATTCTGTGCATGTGCACATTCTAACCCCTTATATTTCCTAGTCAATAGTCAAATCTAATCATCTCATCTTTTTTATATTATTGAATAGTTATTTAATACGTATATATTCTACCTTGTGAAGTTTATTTTTATCACATATATTCAAGGGTTTAAATGTCGGCCGACATGTCGGACATGTCGGCCGACATATCGGTTTGAGGGCTTGACCGACACGACATGGACGTTTTCAACTCGTATGTCAGTTTTCAGGGCCAAATCAGAAATATCAGGGTCATATCGGGCATATCAGTCTATTTTTTAGCTTTGAAAAATCGACCGATATAGTATTTTTTTTTAAGATCTGTTTTTTGTTATCGGGTTTGGGTTTAGTGATAAATACCCAAACTCGTTTGACTCGTTCTCATGTTTAAGGGTTTCTTATGAACCCGATAGAAAGAATTTATGAACCTAAATCCATATATTATTTACTTTTTTATATGTTTAGTCTATAGAATTTATAAAGTATGCTTATATTGAATTTATGAATGCTTAGATTATATTTAGGACATGATATAATACATATGCACACTACCCGATATGACAATCTGATATTTAGTCAATGTTCCCCGATATATCCCCGATTTCCGCTATCTGACATGGATTTCCATCCGACATGAACCCGACATCCGACATTTAAAGCCTTGCATATATTAATATTATAATGCTGTGCCGAAAATCACGTGAAAATATCAAAACAAGATGAAACGGATAATTACTGGTTCAAAATTGTGATCAGGTTTTCAAACTATGTTCATTACATAATACCCAGAAATAAATAATTTTGACTACAAGGTGAAACGCATAATTACTGGTTCAAAAGTTGTTATCAATTTGTCAAACTATGTACATTACATTATAGCCGGAAATAAATGATTACTTCGAGAAAATATCAAAACAAGGTGAAACGATTAATTACTGAGTTCAAAAGTTTTGGACAAAATTTCAAACTATGCACATTACATCATACCCAAAAGTTAATAATTTCTGACTACAATTTCAATACTATCAATAGAATTGGAGTCTTTAGTCAAATTGAAACAATTCTATAGCTGAGTAATTTTGAACCACTTGAAAATTGAATCAAGTCATAAAAATACATTTTAGCATTCAAGAAAGATGAGTTTGCTTGGAATTTGTGGGAAAGGAAATTCCAACTTGGATCTGGGATCTGGATCCTGGAGCAAACTCAGATTTTGAACTGAGAACTTTTAGGCAAATTCAAATACGATCACCTTAGTATTCAGTTCAATTTCAACCTAAATTTTAAGTTTCTCTTTGTGCATGTATCATTTAATTCAGCAGATATGAGATTCTGATCTGCAAATTATATAGCCAATTGCGTAGCTATGGAATCATGGTTTAAAGCTTTATATTTTATACAGCAAGGAATGTAACCTCTCACACTAATAAATCAGATGCTAGATCGGGAACTATATAGTATTTTAAGTTAAATTTTTGTGTTTCCATTCATACAAGGAAAAAAGAATCACCCTGTTCAGCAGCCCACCCTCTCCCTGCTTGTTACTTTTATTTGTCGATCAATGTACACAGGATTTATGGATCGGTACGCGGTGCTTTGGATTGGATGTACTTAGATGCTTGATAGCTAGCTGTTAGTTACACTACAAAACTTGCATTTGAGGTGCTTTCTTTAAACTAGAAACAAATACGTAAGGCCACTACTTGCATTGTGTGGCACATCTTTTCTACAAATATAAAAGCAGTCTTTCATATCGATGCACCTACTCTGTAAGTCTGTATCTTAGTTGTGAAACTGTCAAACTAAGTTTTTTCATGGCCCACCTGAAAATCTTCTGCCTGTGGACAGGTTATTGCTTTAAACAGTTCTCTTGCTGCCGAAGGTGAGCTGTATATTGATGATGGCAAAAGCTATGACTTTGAACATGGGGCATACATCCATCGCCGCTTTACTTTCTCAAATGGCAAGCTGACATCATCAAGTTTAAGGCCTAGCAATCTTGATATGGAGTTCTCTTCAAACTGCGTTATTGAGAGGATTATACTTCTGGGATTACCTGCCGGAGCTAAAAAAGCAGTAACTGAACCAGGAAATCATGAAATTGAGATAGAACCAGGCCCACTTATGCTACGAGGTGGGGCAAGCTCAGTAGCCCTTGTAGTTCGCAAGCCAAATCTCCGCATCTCGGATGATTGGACCCTGAGGATTTTGTAGAACTTCCCTCTCTTAAATGAGATATTCTGAACCAATGAGCGGATATATGTTAGCTTATTCGGGTTCGTCGTGTAATGGATGGGAATTAGGCCATCATTCAACTTTTAGATAATTATGACTTTGTTAGATTCTTCGATTTTTGGTACATGTATAAGCACTGCACACCGAGAAAACCTCCATTGTGCTATCTATGATGAAGTGATGTGTTCCTCGCCTACATGTTTTATTTGGGATTGTTGGTCTTGGGACATGACAATGATTGAAGCTCTCTGCTTGCAGGTGTATGATATATGCTCATAATTTTGGGGGGAAATTGTTCCCAGGACTGTTGGTTGAAAAGGTTGGCATGTATAATAATCTGTCAGAAAACTGACTTCCGCTGAACGACCATCCTTTGATCTTTTGCTATCTGCTGCTGAGTTTCGAACCAACTGATGTTTCTTGTGGTTGGTTTCGATGTGTACTTTATGTTACGCCTTAGTCAACAAAGGTCCGCTATGCTAAAATCTTTTTCGTAATCTGACCATTCAAATCTTTCTTGTTTCTTTCTTTAATCTTTAATTATCAAATCTTGTTTCAAGATTGTTCATATTTTTCCAGTACTTGAGGCCCAAGAAAAACGATCTCATGTATCTATTACGCTGACACAAGATAGTTCTCCGCTGTCATAGGATGCTTGCTGAAACCAACTTCAGTCTTATTTCCTGCAGACTAGTCTGAAGTCTTAAAACTGATCAATCATTCAAATCAGGGAGTTTCTGGGTACAAACAGCCTGTGTTTTTAGAGTGTTTCCAATGAAGTTTTCCTTACAATTTCTGTACATGTTGGCCTCAGATTCTCAAGCCCCAGAAACTTAAATTTTAATATTGCAGTGAGTATTCCTCCAAAAAAAAAAAAAAAAAAAAAAGGCAGAGGNAAAAAAGGCAGTGAGCATTATTATACTCCTCTAATTAATTGGAAACCTCATACAATATGAAATTATGGAAAAAATTGTGTGCCACAAAGTGGGACTGTTAGATGTGACTTTGACTACAAATGCAAGTCATTGTAATGCTAGTTGCAGTTAATGAACCTTTTTCTTCTTCTAGAGGTATCTGGTTCTGAATTGAGGCTCTCTTGCTGTCCACTAGATATTTAAAGATAGTGGGTTGATGCGATTTGTTTACCATCTTTTCACCTTTTAATTACCAGTATTTTCTAATAACTTGTTATCAATATTAATCCTTCTAATTAGTTTTGGTTTTCAAATATTCTGATAACATTGTTTTTGGGAAAAAGGCTTCCTCCCCCCCAAAATCAAAAGGCAAATTCTCCTCACCCCTAAGACATGGTCAACAAGTCAAAAGCCCCTTAAATCAACTTTTTTTTTGGCTTCTAACCCCCAAATCTAGTGTCATCTAAGCAATACTTTCCCATTCTCAACTACTCCCCTTATCCCATGTGGGCTGCTCTCTTTTCTCATCATCATCATCATCTCCCCCATCTCTTCTCTTTTCTCTCTCCAACTCCATGGCCATTACCAATAAGCTCTCATCATCTCATCTCTTTTTTCTCTCGCCATTGCATGGCTGTTACCAACAATCTGTCTCTCCCCCCTCCCTCTGACTTCATATTTCTATATTCCCTCCACTACGCGCCCTCTCCTTTCCACCCCTCCTACCTTGTTAGCTTCCTCATCTCCTATGCTTGGGCCCACCACCCCATCATCACGCTCAAACTCGTCCCCACCAAGTTCCTTTCTTCTCCATCTTAATCTCCTTCGAGCCCACCACTATACATCCACCTCTTATCTTTCCTCCATTCCCTCATTCTCTTCCAGCAGCATCATACATCCATGACATACCTCCCATCCCTTCCCTCCTCCTCCTCCTCTAACAACCCTACGTCGGCTTCTTCGGGCCCATTATTATACATCTACCCCCTATCTCCTTTGACAACCTCTATCTCGGCTTCTTTAGGCCCACCATCATACACCTACCCCCTATATATCTCCTCTCCCTTTCCTTCTCCTCTGACTTCAAATCTCTGCATCCCGTCTGTTGCGTGTCGGCGGAAGCGTGCGCACGAACCAAACGAGTCGGCGAACAAGAGAGAAGAACAATCAACGAGTGCAATTCATAAAAGAACGACAAAAACCAATCACAAACACAGATATTTATGTGGTTCGGCAAATTGCCTACGTTCACGAGGAGAGGATTGTGAGTTTTTACTATATGGAGGAGAAATAATAGGTTACAACTCTCAAACACTCAAAATAACCATCACCAAAAGATCTCAACTCACCTCTCAGAAATCTCTCTCTCAAAGTGCTCAAAACAACCTCTCTTTCTCTCTACTAAAACGTTCTATATATATTGAAACCCTAAAACCAAAACAGACTAGGAATCCAACAATTCTAAAACTAAAATCAAAACAGACTAGGAATCCTAATAATTCTAAAACCAAAACCAAAACAGACTAGAAATCCTGTTTGGCCTAATAACTTGCTATCCAAAAATTCTTCACCTCGGCAAAGTGTTTCTAAAATTGAGCCGACACCAACAAGAGCATCAATGTGTCGTCTCTCCAATTCCGGCTGTACCAATGTGGTTGCCTGCATACCCCCTCTCCTAAGGGATCAAGCCATCCGTAGTTCATCCAAATGGTCTCGAAAGGCCTCAACAAGCATAAATCCGCAATAAGTTTCTGCAATGATCGAACTTATTGATCGGGACCACCTTGTGAGCATATTTGCTGGATTGTCTTTTGTGTGGACCTTCACGAGCTCCACATCCTCATCTTCAAGAACATCCGGGACGAAGTGATAACGAACGTCAATGTGCTTCGTCCGCGCATGAAAAACCTTATTTTTCACCAAATAGATAGCACTCATGCTATCACAATGAATAGTGACGGATCACTGCGAAACACCAAGATCCTCCAAAAGACCTTGAAGCTAAATCGCTTCTTTAACAGCCTCCGTAATAGCCATATACTTTGCCTCTGTCGTTGACAAAGTCACCATAGACTGCAAGGTGCATCTTCAACATACCGACGCACAAGTCAAAGTAAACACATATCCCGTCGTCGACCGGCGCTTATCCAAACCTCTAGCATAGTCCGAATCTACGTATTCAATACATAGCTGTCCATCACTAGTGTCCCGCTCAAACACCAAACCAACATCGAGAGTACCTCGAATGTACCTCAAAATCTACTCCACGACATCCCAATGACCCGGACCCGAGTTGTGTATGTATCGTGAAACCATGCTAACTGCCTATGACAAATCCGACCTCGTACAAACCATGGCATACATCAAGCTTTCCATTACGCTCGCATATGGAGTCTTCGATATCAACTCTTTATCTTTAATTGTCTTCGGTGAAAGGTTAGCTAAAATCTTCAAATGGGTTCCCAAATGTACACTGACTGGCTTCATCTCCATGCTCACATTGAATCGCTGTAAAATCTTCTTCAAATAAGCTACCTGTGTCAAACTAATTCTACCCTTATCTCTGTCTCTGTTGATATTCATCCCCAAAATACGATTTGCTTCACCCAAATTCTTCATCTCAAACTCGCTCGAAAGCTGAATCTTTAATCTATCTATGACGGATCTGAAAATAGAAGCAACTAATATGTCATCGACATAAAGCAATAGGTAAATGTACGTACCTCCATACAACTTACGATAGTACACGCAAGGATCAAAATGGCTCCTAATATATGAATGGCTGATCATGAACCCATCAAATCACCTATACCACTGTCTCGGAGATTGCGTCAACCCGTATAGCGATTTTTTAATCTACACACCAATTTCTCCTTTCCAGCAGTTTGAAACCCCAATGGCTGAGTCATATAAATTTTTTCATCAAGATCACCAAGAAGAAAAACTATTTTCACATCCAACTGATCCAATTTTAAATCATACTGTGCCACCAAAGCTAGCAAGATCCAAATTGAAAAGTGCTTCACCACCGGAGAAAAGACTTTATTGCAGTCAATGCCTTCTTCCTGTGCATAACCCTTCACAACTAATCTAGCCTTAAACCTCATAGGAGTGCCCTGAATGCCCTCCTTCATATACACCCATTTACAACCAATAGGCTTCCTCCCCTTTGGAAGCTCAACAAGCTCCTATGTGTCATTCCTGTGAAGAGACTCCATCTCCTCTTGCATAGCCTCCTGTCACAAATAGTCTCTGAACTCTGCTCAAACTCTCTAAATATAGTAGGAACCATCTCGTTGACACTCTCCACTGAAAGTGCATATGCAATGACTGTGTCTGTATATCTCGCTGGCAACCGTATGTCTCTCCTCGGTCTACGAACTACAATCGAATCCTGAACCTGAGTCATCAGTCCCTGATCCTGCTCTGTCATACATGTATCCTCCAAATCATCACCGTGCTCGTCTGACGTCACCTCAATCAGCACTCTAATGGATATGGTCCCATCTGGACTCTATGGAGCTACATCAATCTCCACCACCTGCGATATCTCCTCTGTCGGGGTGCTCTCCACCTGATAAGAGCTGGTAGGCTTTAAGAGCGAAGCCTCATCGAATGTGACATCTCTACTCAGCATAATTTTTTTCTCAACTGGATCCCAAAGCTTGTATCATTTCACACCACGCTTGAATCCCACAAATATGGTCTTCCTAGCTCGAAGTTCTAATTTATCAGTTCTGACATGATAAAATACAGGGCATCCAAATACCTTGAGCTGATCATAGTTGTGTGCTGGCTCTCCCGACCACATCTCCATAGGGGTTTTTCCCTCAATCACAGATGAAAACAGCCTATTAATGAGGTGACTTGCATATGAAAGTGCATCAGCCCAAAAGATCTTCTCCAAACCACTCTGCGATAACAAACATCGAACATTCTCCAGTAAAGATCAATTCAACCTCTCTGTCACCCCATTGTGCTACGGTGTATGACTAACTGTGAAGTACCTCTATGCCCTCATCTTGATATAGTTGCTAAAAGGGGTCTGAAGTGTACTTATCACCGTTGTCAGATCTCAACGTCTTGATCTTTCTTCATGTCTGCAGTTCTAATCTTCTCTTCTACTCCACAAATATCTCTAGGACTTTACTCTTCTTCGCCATATTGTACACCAACAACTCCTAGAATAGTCATCTACAAACATGACAAACTAATATCGGCCACCAAGTGATGTCACCATGGTGGGACCCCAAACATCCGTGTGCATATAGTCCAAGATGCCTATCGTCCTATGAAATGGTTGTCCCGAACTTTA